GCAGGAATGGTTGGTGTTGAGTTTGCTAGATGAAGGAAAGTGGATGTAGTATTCAGGACGTGTACAGCCAGATTTTTTTTCTCCCATAATATGAGACAGACAATAAAGACGACATTTGTAGTCTGAAGATTTTTATAAACTGAGGTATAGTTTCTTTTCTTGTCCTCTTTTAAGGACCTTTGGAGCATCTGATACAATTACTGCTCTCTGATACGTTATGCCTTTGATAACTTTTTGAAGGTTTGTGGAAAGAATATTCTCAATTGCTTTAGAAGTGGAATGTTCCATATGTCACTGTTCCTAATGTTTGTCTTTCTGACATTGTGTTTGGGTATGACAGTCGTAAGAACCTGTACATAAATGGAAAAACCTTCTGTTTAGACTGTAGTGCTAAGCCTTTGCCGTACGACTGCTAGTATTTACTAATGCAGCATGGCGGCAGTAGGTGTAGTTAGCAGAAATGTAATAGAAATAGAATTTTTATCTAATTAAAGTGACAATTAAGACAGACAGAAGAAAGTGCTAAAATGTGCGAAAAAGAAGGAAAATGCAAAAGTAAAGTTTTGTTTTCTGTATTGGTTTACCAGTTAGTCCATAACATCTGAATGTAAAATTTGACTGTTCTAATTCAGGTCTATTTTTCCTAAGAAAAATAGATAAGAGTAGGAGCTCTGGAAGAAAGATACACCCTGTCTTTACTCGGAACTAATTAATTGCCTTTCCTTGAAGAAACATTTTGGTTTTGTTTGTTACTCAAACGTTGTTTCCTGTCAAAATGGGTAATGTTTTACAGAACAAACTAGAATCAGGAAACTGAGTATTTTTTGCAGAATGGAATTGCTTTCCCATCAGCCATAGGAGCCGGTATCTTTTTGCTGTCCTTGTCCCTGGTTCAGTCCCATGCAGATGAATGGACTTGGATCCTTCTCCTACCTTGGCTGAAGCCTGTTATTTGACAGAGGGATTTTGATATGCTCCCTGAGCAGCATTACAATGTTAACAGCACATGAGCATATTGTGATCCTCCAGCCTTTTCTCCAGAAATACTTTGACCTTAACTGTTCTGTATCAGATGACGTATTTTAAACTTTAAGAAGCAGTTTAGCCAAAGTCCTTGACTGAACTGAATTTTTCTGATAAAGGAACGTACTGGCAGTTTTTATAAAAATTCAATTGTGATTTACTCTAGTCTTCTTTGCTAGTATGCTTCCATCCATTTTCAGTCTTAAGGCCCATCAATTTAGAAGGCTTTTTTCTCTTGGGGAATCAAAATATTCTGTTAGCTGGGCTCAGTTTTACTCTTGGAGAAAGCATGAACTAACACGTGCTTTTTCATTCCGTATATACTGAAATTTTTAGCTCCAGAGCTGCTTCAGCATGCCATTCAGCTCATAAATTTGTCAATTTTCTTAATAAAGAAAACTGTCAAATGTTATAAACAAGGAATAGTCCCAGTCCACCAAATGAAATCTAAAAGTGAGAGATCCTTTGCAATTATTTAAGCCAAAAGGAGCTTTGTGGCAAATGCAAATTAAACCAAGCTTTTCTGGGATAGTGTGAAGCTATTCACAGTTGCATCCCAATTGCATTTTATTTGCGGCTTTTCCCCATAGAAAATAGTAATTTTTTTTCCTTAAAATATCTGTAAGTTATAAAACTTTGTCTATTGTAGTGTGTGAAAGTTTTTAAATAGAAAAACATGTTTGGCATCTGAAATCTCTTGAGAAGAAATCACAGCTTTTTATTGAAGCTTGTTAATCTCTTTCTGTGTTTGAAAGTTGAATAATTTCAAAGAGAGCAAAGTTAACTTGAGTTTTTCTGGATTTTTTTTTTTTCTCAAGTGAGCAGTACCAGTAAGAAGGGAGTTCTTGTGTCATAAAATTGCTAGGTCTTTTTCCCCTAGGTTTTCAAGAAATGTTTGAGAGGGGGGGAATGTAATTAAAATCTTATTCTCCCTTTGGCTGCATTTTTAATTTTGAATTCAAACCCTCACACAGAGTAATAGAGCTTTGCTTTAGGGTGTTTTACACCTCTATCAAAGTGACTAAAGTAATTAGTATTTTATACATTTTGGTAAGTATTTTGTCACTGGAAGCACCAGTGCAGGTGAATGATAATGGTTTGAAGCTCAGGCAGTGACGGGACCCTAAATGAGAATGTCGCCTTTTAATCAAGAGCACTTGGAGTCTACGGTATTGAAATGCCCTACAGAGAACATAGAAAAGCCATCCATCACTTTGTGACAGTCCAATCTTTTAGTGCATGAGTAAAATTTTATTCAGCCTTTCTAAGGCAGTTGGAATGTAAGACGTTTTAACTCACCTCAAAACAGCAGTGTAAAAGTTCGAAAGCATAATGTACAGATTGCTTTCTGGACAGCATGTGTGTCTCTATGTATTATCTTTATTTATTTAGATTGCAATTGAAACGTTTCCATGCCCTGCTTCAAACACCTCCCCCCTCCCTCTTATACACCCAACAGGTGAGATTATTTCTAAATTTTAGTGGTATGTTTGGAGTTAATTTGCATAGTTGATTAACTCTGATGCTTAGCGGAAATACTCAGCAAGTTAAAGGGAAAGAATGCTGCTTTAGGAAGGGCAGATTTTGTAAGTAAAAGTCTCACACAGAAAAGTAGTTTGACACGTGACTCAGAAGTCCTCTGGGAAATGCTTAGAACAAGCTGAAGTACATTTAGTGACATATACTTGAAATTATAAAGTATTATTATAATAATTCAACAATCTAATTTCAAGCTTTGTGTTGTTATGTTTGTTTTTAACAACCCTCCTTCGGCTTTCTTTATAAGTGAAAGCAGCAGCAGCATCTGAGGACAATGTCGTAATTTAAACAAAAACATTTTTGTTGTCGGGCATTTGGGAGATTTTCTTTTCATGTCACTGGAAGCAGAAACCTGTACCTTGTCTTTTAAGATGAGTTGGCAGTGATGAAACCCACTGACTTAAATGGATTTACTCCCAATTTACACTGTATGCATGACTGTCTTGCCCACCCTACTAGCTGCTTGAAATCAAGGACATTGATCTGCACTGTACTTAATACCTGTTTTCAGCTGGCTACTACTCAGTTTTTTTGTTTGGTAAATTGAGTTTTTCAGTACCCTGTGGAACAAAATTTGCTGTGAATATGCAAGATGAGTTTTTTTTTCCTTCCTGGCATTTGAACATTTTCAAGCTGAAATATTTTTTGTCCTACCCCAAAATAAGGTAGGACCTCTGTGAAGGGAGAACATTCCTAAAATGCTACCATGTACCAGAGTAGAGAGAGAAGGCTGGGGAAATTGTATTTGGCTTCCTTTTAGTGAGTGGAAAGGAAGAGGGAAAAAGTTTTTCCTGTTGAATCCAAGAATCAGTAAAATGCAACCAGATGGTTAAGACATGTTTGCTCATGTTACTAAGTCTTTCAGTCACAGACATGGAGAGAGTTAATCTTGTTCAAGAGTGCTATTTCTTAAGTCTTACATTGTTATTGGGTCTTCAGTGAGTTTGCTTTCAGAAATACACTATGCTAATAATGTTGGTGATGAGAAATTTTTTAGCTGTCATTTTAACTTGAGCTTAAGCACGTCTAATTCTGACACCTTTCTCTGAGAATTGTTCTCAGCAATGTAAAGAGCTGCATTTTTGTCTGCCAGAGTGTACGTGTTCAAGTTTTAATGGCTCCTGTCATGTCATCATGCAAAGTTAAATGAATTAAATATTCAGAATGTGCAAGAGCCTGTGCCAGGCTTGTTTTACAGTGAGAGCTAATATATTAATCAAACAGCTTAATATACGTTC